TCAGAGTTTAAAAAAATTCCCTACGTTGCAGAACCAATAGTAAATCTGCAGGGCGGTCCTTCGGTGGCTCACTGAACTCTTGTGTTTGTAAACATAGTCCGACTGCGTTAAAAGTTTCAAACAAAGTCGCTGTATGTCCTTCATTTCCACAATCTTGTGGACTGAGCACACATTTGATAAAAACGCAGTTAAATCTCTCGGCATCCATTTTCACGCTCTCTGTGTTTTTGTTTCCTTGCGGACGAGAAAAGGAGGAGCGCACATTTCCGGGAGGGCGTGTCCTTTTCAGAAATGCAAGAGGTGTTGCTTTGTTGCCGGCCGTTTTCGCCGGTGTGTTAAACACACTATAGAAAGGAGTGTCCCCAGACTATCAGAAGGTGGAGATCTCTGATTGTCTGGTGGCGAGACTATATCAGTTACTCACCTCGTGTTATGTCAAATTTGTGAAGTAAACTTTGTTTTTCTCCGATGCCTCGACAGCAAATGTAGAATCCATAAAACAGAGAAAATTGTCAATGAATTTAAGTAAAAGGAGGCAACAAAACTATGTCAAAACATCCGTTTACAAACTCTCACACAACTCATGCAGTATAATCTGAATCTTATTTATCCAGTCGTATGCTCAGTACTACCCAAACAAGCAGCACTTTACAACAGGGTACTGAACTTACAGTGAAACTTATCTATGATCTCTTCAAAGCCAGACTCCATTGACAAAAATGGTAATTTTACCTTGCTGAATACAGGACCTGTTGGTCTGCCACTGCCTCCATCAGTTAGTTTGTGTTACTGTGCGACTTGATGTATCCAAACTAACCAAAAGTCACATGGTATCACAGACAAACTAATGCTGTTGCCAATTATGTTGTCGAATAAAGAGACTCAAAACACAGGATTGGACATTTGAGGGTTTACTTGCGAAAACGCCAAAGAATTAGTACATCATGACAATTGATAGTGTCTGACAACAAGCCTGACAGTTGACACACCTACAGCTCTCCATTACACATTAAAAGGGGTTTCCTGTCACTTAAGCTGCTGTTTTCGTGTTGTTGAAACAGCCAGCTACGAGGACAATTTCTTCCCCTCACATAACCAAATTTGGCCAGAATCATGTCAGATCATTTAGCTGAAGTCACATCAGGATGACAAGTTTATGTCAAGTCACGAACACCATACATTCACACAATAGGTGATCATGCCAGGTCATCTACACTATACTAACTGATGGAGGCAGCGGTAGACCACCAGCTCCTGTGTTCAGCGAGGTAAAATACTGGCTTTGATAAGTTTCACTTTCCGTTCAGTACCCTGTCAGAGAGGGCTGCACGAGTTGTGTGAGAGTTTGTATACTGATGTTTTGATATAGTTTCACTGCTGTTAAACGTAGACCCTGTGGTGGCAAAACTACTATTTAATGAACAGTTTAAAGAAAGTCTTGACACGTCGGCTGTCTTTCTTGAGTTTTAATAAGCATTCATGAATGGAGACACTCACACATACAACCGCATGAACAGTCAGTCAGTGAATGCCTAGCAAGTCTTCTCGCCCTGCTATCTTTATAGTTCCCATAACACATGCACATCAACAGTCAAAATATGTGGCGCCTTGACATTCCTAAAACACAACATCTCTTCAGACTAACAAGGACACTTGTTGTCCTCCCTGGCTCATAATCTTGGTGTCTGAGCCTCCCTGGCTCGTGGCCTTGGTGTCTCTCACTGCTGTCACAGTAGGGGTTAAATGAGCAACACACATCATACATCATAGCAATACCAAATACCAGAATTTTCCATCACATTCCACCCTTTTTAGCATTCTCATGCTAAACCATAAGCGTGGAAAATTATCTTACTACCTTATGTCCTACGAGTTCCATCCGTACCAGCCAAACGCCAGTATCACCATCCTCCAACATGGTAGATGAAAACCCAGGCAGAAGTCACAGGCCATAAGCACAGGCAAGCCAAACATCCCCCTCCCTATATGGTGAAGGAGAAGGTAAAAGACTTGTCCGTCTAACTACTCTACCTAATAAGGGAAAAACCTCTATATGATGAGGGCAAAAATCCCTTATACCACACTCTAAGCTAAGGCAAGATAAGCATAAATGAAAAATTTCATCTTTAATGAGAATACACAATAGTAAAATCAATAAAGGGAACACATTGCTTTACTGACTGTCATGCAGATGTTTATATAAAAGCAAATGAAGATGAATAATGAAATAATAATGAAAAATGGAGATAAGAAAAATAAAAAAAGGAGAATAAAAATCAAAATGAATCGGGTAAATATGGTGTCATGACTTCAGTTAATCAAGAATGTTCTCAATTTGTGGATACTTTGTTCACTGTGGAGGCATCCGACAAAAACACAGTTCCACAGTCTTCTTGAATTCAACGAAACATGGTGTGAGTAATTGATGCACAAACAGTCATGTGAAGGGTAAAGTATTCATTTCGAGCTGCACTAATTAATATTTTTATATGACCAATTAATGTAATGTGTAATGGGAAAAGTGTTGGTTGTAAACCGTGTCAGAAGCTAAAGAGATATTTCCCTCAGGAGTTGGTAGAGACCAAAACAGAGCTAAAAGGAGAATAAATGTTGGACTTACAGTCACTAATATGACTGAATGAATGCTAATGGATTTAATAGGGGTGTAAATCACCAGTTTCATCCCGATACAATATTATAGCCAGTCTTTGGAAAACAGTATGATATTTGCTGATATTACAAAGTCTGCCTTGATACGATTTCGATTGGAAGCGATTTAGGGGTCTGCCATCGATATGAGACGATATTATCTGCCCATTTAACACGGTAACAGAGGAAGCTGCCACCCCTGTCTTTTATGGCCATAGAAGATGAAAACCACACATATATAATAACAGTAACTGTAGCCGCTTAAGTGCGCTTTTTAATTTTAATTTAGATTTTTATCATTTTTGGGACTTCTGAATATGAAATGATAGAGTACTTGAAGTATTGCTTAAAACTACTACGAAATTGGAGTATTTATTCATAACACAGTAGGTGAAAAGTACAGCATTAAAATATCTTCTAATCAGTACTTTAATTATCTTAATTAACGCTGCTTAATTAACACGAGTATAATTGGCTTGTTTTATGTATCAGGGTGACAGGTGTACAGCTGCAGCTCCACTCACTCTGTTTTTGTGCTGAATTTATGTCTTAGCAACAGAAACTTTCTACTCATCTTACTGCGTGTGTGTGTGCGTGTGTGTGTGTGTGTGTGTGTGTGTGTGTGTGTGTGTGTGTGCGTAATAATTCTTCATATTTTTTTTGTTTGTTAGCTAATTTTGTTCATCTGTTTTCTTTTCTCTTTCACACACACATGTACACGCACTGCACACACATATCTCCTCCCTCAATCAAACACACACACACACACACACACACACACACACACACACACTGTTTGTGATTCACAACAGAGGCCTTTCACTGTCTGCTGCTCTGCTGTGTCACCCTGTCCTGCTCCTCTCCTTTTTATTCCTGTGTTGTTCTCTGTGCTGCTTCTCCTCTTTGTTTTTCTTTCCTGTTCTTGTTTCCTTTCATTTTCACATCTAAATTAATTCATGTCTAAAGAGGCAATAAATTCTTGTTTTCTTTCCTTTTCTCTCACCTTTCTCTTTTCCTCCCTCCACCACTTTTCTCTAATTTCTTACTTCTTGTTTTCTCCCTGTGTCTCATGTTACTTCCTTCTTCTGTTTCCCTCTCTCCTCTCCGTCCTGCCCCGTTCTTCAGTTTGACCTTTTATGTCTCCTCCTTTGCCCCCTCTGTTTCCTGTCTGCTCAACTCTAACCTCATCTTTCCTCCTTTTCCTGATCACTTACCCTCCCTCTGCGCTCGTCCTCCTCTCTGTGGTGTGTCAATGCTGCCCCCTGCTGTTTTCACAGTCATATTGCAGATAGTTCATCAGTCTGCCTGGTTGCTCGATGTGGGGGGAACAGGGCACAGAGTGTGTGTGTGTGTATGTGATAGATGACTGTTTGCTCTGTTTACTAACAGGTCGATGAAAGCCATTTAAATCTGGACAGGCGTTCTGGTCCAGTTGGCAACACACACACACACACACACACACACACTGAGAGATGCCTTAACAGTCTGCGGTGGTGTTAAATCTGCAGATGTTTTAGAGATGGTTCAGTAACTTCATCGGCCTGACTGGAGCAGAAAATAAAAACTGCACACGGTCAAAGAGGAATGACATTTTGAAAGCGTGGTGATGAACTGAAAATTCTTGGATTCTTTGGACAACGACATGCTATTTGACATTGTCACAAAGTCTGAGATGTGAAACAGTATCCGTATAATCATTACTGTCAATTCAGGAGCCTGGAAATTTGTGAAAATGTCCAAAAAAAAAAATGCTCATCACAATCTTCCAAAGCCCAAAGTCATGTCTTTAACTTGCTTCGTTTGTCCAACCAACAGTCCAGAACCCAAAGATTTTTCATTTACCATCATGAAAGACAAAGAAAAACAGCAGATTCTCACATTTAAGAAGCTATAACCTGCAAATGTTTGACATTTTTGCTTGAAAAATCAATGAAACTATTAATTGACTTTCAAAATAGTTGGTGATTACATTTCTTTTGATCAGGAGCCTGGATTGATAATGACACTGATATCATCTTATATTGATTTCAGGCCCCTGAATTGTCTCTTTCTTGACTGCTTGCACACTTCCTATGGGAATTTCACAATAAAAGCATATCTTAAAGATGTGGATATGTATCAGTGTTAATAATATTGGATCACTGATCACTGAATCAATACATCATTCCAGATCATTGTCGTTACACCCCTAATAATGACCAATACCGGTAAGAACGTGTGTGTGTTTGGTAATTCAGTGTGTTGTTGTGCAACACTTCACACACACACACACACACACACATAGAGGGTGGTATTAATGTGTACACTGTGAGTGCCGTCTTGTTTATTGTGTATTTACTGTTGTTTTGTAGGTGAAGAGTGTGTTCAACATGACAGCCAAGGAGGGCAGGAAGAGGTCTGTGAGCTGTCTGGTCGCCGTGGGAAATGGCAATGGAGCCGCAGGTTTGGCACACTCTGAAACTTAAACCTAGATCGCCGCTGTTGGAGTCGTCAGACTCACAGGATGGTGACTGTGGCCATGAAGCCTGTCATTGGCTGCCTATCTCAGATGGTTAAAAATGCTCATCACAATTTTCCAGAGTCCAAAGTGATGTCCTTAGATCACTTTATTTGTCCAACCAACAGTCCAAAACCCAAAGATTCTTCATTTACCTTCATAAATGACAAAGACAAGCAGCACATTCTCACATTTAAGGAGCTAAAACCAGCAAATGTTTGACATTTTTGCTTGAAAAATGAGTGGAACTATTTATCAACTGTCAAAAATAATTGGTAATTAATTTTCTTTTGATTGAACTCATTGATTAAATAACTAATCGTTGCAGTTCCAGTGTGAAACAACAACTTCCGAGCCTGCTACCTACACGCTAAAATGTCTTTTAATGTTGTGGTGTTCGCATTCGCCTCTCCACCAAAACAAGCTCCCTCTCAATACTATTTTGCAAAGGGCACCGTCACTGCATCCTGGGCTAAGCACCACCTAACATTTACCCTTAGATTATTCCCCGAAATGAGGAATTACAATGGTCCAGCAAGACCTATCTCCAGTGCTGGCACAGCGTATAGGTCTGGTCATGTGAGACTGATAATGGAAAAACACTTTCTAAAAAGTTTCTAAAAACACAGAACAAAACAATATTTTGACAGTTTCAGGATGTTTGCAAAGGTTGAGAAATAACTCTGTGTTGTATGTAGATATGGAGAAGTGCAGAAAATGTTTTTGACAGTTCTCAAGCTCTTCAGAAGTGAAAATACATTTTTAAAAATGCAGAGGAAATTTTTAACAGCCTCCTTGAGATTCACCTGCCTTCAGTCTCTCATTACAGAGGCTGTTAGGGCTGCTTTGTTTAAAATCTCACCATGTTACAGTTTTCGTGTAGGCTCATAGTCTGTGACACTAATTTAAAAACATTTACAGTTGCAATCAAAATTATTCAACCCCCATTGCATATTAGGCTTATTGGCAAAATGTACAATTTTTCAGCTGTTTTCAATAAACAAATTACACAAGAACAGTTGAAATAGTTTAATAAAACTAATATTACCATGGGTTTTATCCAAATTCAATGCAAAATGCTACTTTTAATCACTACTGCAGTCTCAAAATTATTCAACCCCCTGTCTCAAGCACACCTGATGCAACTAATCAAAATTATTCAACCCCCTGTTTCAAGCACACCTGGTGCAACTAATCAAGGGCTTCATTAGTTCAGGTGTGCTTGAGATAGAACACATAAATACCTCAACTGGCTAGGGGTTTGTTGAGAGTGACGTTTGATTGCATGTTAGAAATATGGCTAAGTCAAAAGAATTGTCCAGAAAGTTCAGAGAAGAAATCATTGCCTTGCACAAACAAGGAAAAGGATACAAAAAGATAGAAAAAGCTCTGAATGTTCCTAGAGATACAGTTGGAAGCATAGTTCGCAAGTTCAAAGTCAAAGGAACACTGGCTACACTACCTGGACGTGGCAGAAAGAGGAAACTGTCAGCGGCTGCCACCAGATTCCTGAGGAGGCAAGTGGTCAAAAACCCTCGAGTGACTGCAAAACACCTGCAGCAAGACTTGGTGGCAGCAGGCACTGAGGTTTCAGTTTGTACAATAAGGCGCATACTAAACACTGAAGGGCTCCATGCCTGGACTCCAAGACGTACACTACTACTGACCCAAAAGCACATGAAAAGTCGGCTCCAGTATGCTCAAAACCATATAAATAAGCCACAGAAGTTTTGGAATTCTGTTCTGTGGAGCGATGAAACAAAACTGGAACTCTTCGGGCCTATGGAACAGCGGTATGTCTGGAGGAAGAAGAATGAAGCATATGCTGAAAAGAACACCCTGCCTACAGTGAAGCATGGCGGTGGCTCAGTGATGCTCTGGGGCTGCTTTGCTGCCTCTGGCACTGGAAACCTGCAGCGTGTGGAGGGCACGATGGATTCAGTCAAGTATCAGGAAATCTTAGGTAAAAACGTTGTGCCGTCTGTGAGGAAGCTGAAGCTTGGGCGTCATTGGACCTTCCAACAAGATAATGATCCAAAGCATACCTCAAAGTCCACCAAGGCTTGGTTTCAGAAGAAGAAATGGAAGATTCTAGAGTGGCCGTCACAGTCGCCTGACTTGAACCCCATAGAAAATCTCTGGTGGGATTTGAAGAATGTGGTTGCAAAATGCACACCCAAGAATATCACTGAACTGGAGGCCATTGCCCATGAGGAATGGGCTGAGATTCCTCAGGAACGCTGTCTGAAGCTGGTGTCTGGCTATGCATCACAATTGCAGCAGGTCATAACAGCAAAAGGGTGTTCTACTAAGTACTGAAGATGCTTGTCATGAAGGGGTTGAATAATTTTGAGACTGCAGTAGTCATTAAAAGTAGCATTTTGTGTTGAATTTGGATCAAAACCCTTGTAATATTAGTTTCATTGAACTACTTAAACAGTTCTTGTGTAATTTGTTTATTGCAAACAGCAGAGAAATTGTATATTTTGCCAATAAGCCTAATATGCAATGGGGGTTGAATAATTTTGATTGCAGCTGTAAATGTGGGTTAAACTGTCAGCATCACTAAAATGTTTCTCCTCCCTCCACTAGGCTTTGCGGTGGCTAAAGCAGCAGACAGAAACACAGCTCTGAGGAAGGTAAGACCACAAAGTTATTTTTATATAAGTCAGTTTTTGTGTAAATATCCCCAATAAGTGTAATTCCTAATGTTTATGTTTTAGATTTAAATAGAGTTGAGTTAATGAGTAAAACCTGCTTAACTGAATAATTTGACCAGAACTATATTGTCAGTGGACTTTATTATGAGTGGAAACATTATTTGGACTTTAAAAAAATATCCCACATTAAGGTGCATTTAGGTTGAGATATCCTCAGACTGTCCCCCAGAGTAGATGTAGGCTCCCTTGTGTTCTACTAACAATAATGTTTTCCCTGGTGATTTCAACAGTTGACACCCTGTGTGTGTGTGTTTCTGTGATCTGCAGGCCAAGAACAGAGCGATGCACTACCTGTACTACATAGAACGATACAACAACAAGACCAGTAAGTTCTGGTTTTTCTTTTTATATCGTTTAACATTCCTAAACGCACAGACATGGGACTCTCCTGGATAATTTAACAGTCCTATGAGTTTATATTGTGGCAACAGACTGTGTAAGTGATGCAGCGTAGCCTTTGGGTCTTCAAAGTAAAGCCAATGAAGAAGTGCTTTAAACCTGCATTTCTTTTAATGGCCACAAGGGAGTGTCTTCACTGTGTGGAAAAAGAAGTCTGATTATATAGAAGTCTTTGAGAAAATGATCCTACTTTTCACCTGAATTATGACCTCCTAATGAGTTATGGTCTCACTCAATAGTTTACATGCAGAGTAAAATAGACGATAAAACTGGGGGGTGCTTTAGTGCCTTGTTACCTGATGATTGACACGTCCCTATTGAGGCATCCTGTCAGCCAGAATAGAGGCATATAGGGCTGGGTTAAAATATCCAATTCATCCGATACAAAATGATCTTCATTTGAATGACCTGACATAGATTCATAAAAGATTAATCTTTTAATAAACGCTTTTCCCCATGAATTTATGAAGCTTTAACCCCGTTAATATCGCCGCTAGTGAACGGGCCATGGCGCTGAATTATTGACGACTGTAATATTGAGAAGCTCCAGCATTACCGGCTCTTTTATCTGTAATTGTGAGTTTACTTGTTTAAGTTTTGGTGTAACTTATTGTCATGCTGTGTGTTGGCACTGCTGCGCCACTTTTACACACACACACACACACACACACACACACACACAAAGACAGAGTAGAGATGATGCAGTGGAGACAGAGAAGTGAGTTAAGTTTATATAGTGACTTTGCTGCTTTAACATCACTGTTGCTGCTCTAGAAACAACATTTAGTCATAAAATATTCAGTTTTAATCCTGTTGTGAATTTATTCTTTTTAAAAAATAATTCCTTGTAAAATTTACTGTTAGTTCTCTGAGAATCTCTTTCACACACTAGCAAACATTGGTATTGTAACTGAAATATCCCCAATCGAATCAAATCGGAAATCAGAAATCAAATCGAATCAGGACCTTGTGAATCAAAATCGAATCAATTCAGGAAAACTGTGGCTATACCCAACCCTACAGGCATAGCAATGCATATCCTCCCCAGCTCAACCCTTTCACCCAAATATGGTCACTTCTGACCCCAAAAAACAAGATGGCGACAGCCGAAATGCCCAAATTCAAAAGGCTTCAAAGCTGCAGTCCACAAACCAATGGGTGTGGTCACACTGGCTACACCCCCCCCCCCCCCCCCCCCCCCCCCCCCCCCCCCCCCCCCCCCCCTCCTTTTTTTACAGTCTGTGGTTGTTTTAACTTATTTTCTGACAAGTCATGTTTCGTCATCCAGTCTGGCATATGACAGCTTTTAAATACCACAGTACCCATGAGCCTTTGCTGCTATTGTGATGAAGAAGTCAGTCAGAGGCATGTATCACAGCAGGAGCAAATTTAAAACACTGCACCATAGTTCCTAAATTAACCCTAAATCTAAGAGTGATTTAATTAAAGTTGCAGATCATATTATCATCTTCTCAACATGATCATCTTCCACTTGCTGTTAGCAGCGTACATAACACAATTTTAAGCTCAGTGATTGGATGTTTATTAATGAAATGCACCCTGGGAGTCATAGTTTCCTCCTCCTCTGTCATGTTTATGCACACAGTCTTTCGCCTTCGACTTTTTCTCAAAGAAGCAGATGTTTTCTTACACAGCTGATTACCATTTGTGCTGATGATTCAGTTTCATGCTGATCCAAGCTGTAGAAGTGCTCCGACTGTGAGTCACACAACACTGACAACGAGAAAAGATGAATGGGACCTTACTGCAGAAGCTTTCCCGACTTCACACCTGTCACGCCACATCCTTGTCCTCTCCTTCATCTCTTCCACTCCTCCTGCTCTTTCCTTCACCCCTCTCGTCCAGCACTCTCCCCTGCTCGCACTCATACAGGAGACTTAATGTAAAAAATGCATTTGTGATAAAGGTATGAGAGTTAAAATGCACCGCTTGTACTTTCTTATTGTAAAATGCCATTTGGCTCCTTGTGCTGCTGCTGGAGAGCAAAGCCAGAAAGATTAATGTGCGTGAGTCATCAGCCTCCGCCGCGCCCACCAGAGGAGAAAGTTAGCTTCCTGCTTTGGCCTAAGACCAGACAAGAAGGGTGTGTGTGTGTGTGTGTGTGTGTGTGTGCGGTGCGACATTTCCACCCAGTTTGAGCTCCAAACTGTGATATATTTAATTTTTGCAGGTTCATAGAAAAAGATATGCGGATCCTTCCACATGCCAGTTCTCACTGTGTCACCATCTGCAACCTGTCCCAGCCGTCATGTGATCGGTTGTTTACTTCTTCGTCTTTTTTTAAGAAAGACAGCCTTTCCATGGATACCAAATTAAATGTGACACGTACATCAGATAGCTTTTAGATCATTTTCATCACCTTTGTTGATCACTCTCTGAAGTCATCGTCACCTTTACCAGCGAAGTCGTGCAGTTTTCAGCCCATCTGTTTGACAGTTAGTAAGATATCTAAAAACATACCCAGTGGCCAGATTGCCTGCAGGCCAAGTTTTGCTGGTGGTCCAGATTTTGGATTTGGTCCACCATGTGATTAACAGTTTTTCTTCCTGAATGTTAAGCCGTGTCAATGTGTTGATTGGGAAGTCCAACATCTGGATGTCCCCCCGACTTGGCCGCTTAACGTTTTGTTTTGGTGGAAAAACAAACCACTCCACTGACCTTCCAGTTGTTGCTGTTGGCACCAGTATTCCCACCCCCCCAGGACCCTGGGATGCTGTGTGAATATTCATGTGACTTGTGTTCAGATGAAATGGATGGACAATACAACGCCGAAGGGGAATTTGAATAAATTTGAATTTGGCACTGTGTTTAATTGTTTCTGTTTTGGACATTTTCCATTTTTTGCTGGAAGAAATCAAGACTGGGGAACAATCAGAGAAACAACTTACAGTCCTTTGGGTTCAGCTGTAAGAATACAGTTGGTAACTTTTATGAAATTAACTTTTTGTCATATTTGCTTAAGCTGACACTACATTGACATAGATGCATGAGATAGATACCTGTTAGAAAAGATAAGGTACCTCCTCCTACTCATAGGAGTAGTTTTCATTGCAGATGCAGGGGACATTTACACCATGGAATTATGCTGAAAATGTGCAAATTGGTGCATAAAAATTCACAAGAATGAAAGAAATTAGGTGTTTACGCTCAAAATATTCTGGCAGAGCACCCCCAAACATCATGTTTCATGTGTGTCTCTCCTGTCGTGACCTGTCGCAACAAAACCTACGCATTTGCATGCTTCTGAAGGGCTTGACACACCGAACCGATGGTTGGCTGTTGCTCATTGTCGGGCTGTCAGTGAGTGTCTGTGGCCCTTGTCACTGCGGCATGTTGAATCACTGTGATTGGCAGTTCAGCGCACTAGAAGAGAATTGGAAGTGAGGAAAGTAAACAAAGAGCTAAAGTCGAAAGGGAGTGAGACCAAAACAAACTTGCTACACAAGGTAAGATTATTTTTCTTTAGTCATTGAGCTGTGTAGCAGAAACATTTGTGATGGTTTGTTATTGTTCACTGGCACACCGTAAATATGCTCCGTTCTTTTAACATTGCATTGTGTTGTTGAGGTGCTAACTGGCTAACTAGCATCAAGATGGTTCTCCAGTTTCCATTTTTGTGTGAGGATTACAGACTGCCGCCGTTTGCTGGTGTAGAGAGTGATTTCCTCGCACGCAGGTACAGAACATACATGCTGGTTGGCCAGTGGTTGAAGTCTTTCCAGTGTGTTCATGTGCAATTTTCTGGCCAAGACACGGCAGCATGAGGCAATGTAGCAGGGTTTTTTTGTCGCTGCTAGTTCTCTGAAGTCGGTTTTGTGTGTCTGGGCCTGAAAGACATTTGCTAGAATCCTCCACAGCTCACCAAAAACAACAAATCAGAGCCAAGCAGTCTTTAACGCAGCTGTCAATTATGTTAGTAACTGCTCATGAACTGCAGCCAGATTGTCAAATTAGGCAGCGCTGATCAAATATGATCAAGATTCAGGTACTGCATTACCGATTTCTCTCCTCAGATGTTTTCAGAAACATGTTTTAGTGTACTGTTTAGCTGTAAAATGAGAAAGTTTGCTTCTGCTTTTATTCACAAGGTAACGCCATTAGAAGCACTACGAGGATGTAGATGAACATGATGTTTTTCACAGATCATCTGTCTCACGTCATGACAGTTTCAGCTATAACAAAAAGTAATTTTTAAGAAAAGTTAGCAACTGCAGCTTTAAGTCAGGGCAGACTTTAAATTGAGTGTTTGAGTTTGAAAAACTTGCAATTACTGGGAGACATAGGAGCGTGTTTCATGGAGGACTTCGCCTTTTTTTTCTATCTGCTTTGACTTTGTCGCTGTTTGGATCTGTGAGTCACACATCACACAGAAGACACACACACACTGTTCTAAATGAACCTGGACCTCCTGCAGCCTCAGCAAATGTTCAGCTCCCTGTGCGGTGTGTCTGTGTGTGTGTGTGTGTGTGTGTTTGACATTTAGTTTCTGCATTTTAGATTTCTTCACCCAGCAGGACGTGTCCTCTGAGCACCAAATTTTCTACTTTTACTGCATCTCATCCATCTTCTCTTCTTCTCTTCCCTCCACCCATAACTCACATCTTCTGTTGTTACAGCATCCAAGTACAAAACCTAATTTATTAAGTGTGTTAAATTCCAGCTGGATGTGCAGAGGATGCAGGGACAGCAGCCTGTGTGGTGTTTCAGAAGTGATGTGACACAGGAACAAGATTTTAACCTCGAGCTACAGAGCTGTACAGTTTTCTCAGGCTTCGTTCAGCAGCACCGAGCCCCCGCTCAGGGACTGTGTGTCTGAATAACTAATCAGCCACAGCTGCTGCAGTCAGCAGGAGATGCTGGCATGTGGAAGGACATCTGGTGGGCAGGTAGAGAAACACAAGACCTGAGGGAGAACAGGGGAAAAGATGCATAACAAAACACAAGCGCCTTCACTTGGAAATGGCACAAAACACGTGAAAATAATGAGAACTGTGGACTAATGTGTGGCTGTATTGTTTCCTCCCTTTTTATAGTCTGCATCCAGAAAGTGTAACTCAGTTGTTTTTCTCTCCAACAGTTTACCATGACATCAACTCCAAGTTCAAGAGGACAACGCTCCGCATAAAGAAACAAAATGAGGGTATGTCTTCATTTCATTAAGCATTTAGTTTGTAGGATGGAGGTTAAGCTTAATGTTGATAAACCTGATGGGTATCGACTTACAAAATCTGCATGTTATACTAGCATTTGGAATTAATGAATTCAAAGTTGAAAATGAACATTGTGTCTTTTTTTTCTGGATAACGGTTGATGCTAGAATGGATGAGGGAGGGACGCGTTACATCCAGGGGTATGTGGAAACTGCCCACATAGGGCCCTGGGCCATGGGCACAAACCAAGCTGACCTCCTGCCCTCCCTCTGGTTCTCCAGCAGAAAAGCAGAGCACAGCCTGGGTCAGTGGGGCTCGCTGGAAGCTGCTAACGGGCGGTGCGATGAATCCAGGCGGCTGAGAGTCAAGCCAGGGCCTGTGGAACATGCTGGAGGCTTTAGCAGGCCTGGAAAAGCAGTCATAGTGGGAAAGAGGAGAGCCAGGGCCCGGAGAGCATGTTGGAGAACCAGAGGGAGGGTGCAAGGTCTGCGGGCTTCATGCCCACGGCTTCGTGCCCACTGTCGTCTGCTCTCCAGTGTCCACACACCCCTGAATGTGGAGCTTCCAACATGCTGTGCAGGCCCTGGATCTCCTCCCAGTCGCTATGGATGCCTCTCCCGCCCTGCTAAAACCCCAAGATTGTTACAAACAAAACATATGAAGAGTTTACAGCAAAAATCACAGCCGAGCATCCATCCCTGCCCCAAACCATCCATTCTAGCACCAGCTATGAAACAGCATTACCAAAATGTGTCGCCTGTCACTTTGCCATGCCGTTCACATTAAGGTACTGCTCTCCTGCTGCATGTGGAACATTTCCAGATAATTTACTATATTACATAAAATCAATAGTGTAAAATTACATCTGCCATGATAGAAGACTACGTGTGCTGAGCTAGATCATGGTGACATCAGCGTGTGCATGTTTGTGTTGACTCCCTCTCTCTCTGTGTCTGCAGGTTATGGTCTGCATTGCCACCGAGCGGTCATCACTCTGTGCAAGCTGATCGGTATCCAGGACATGTACTGCAAAGTAGAAGGATCTGTCAATCTCCTCAACATCACCAGGGCCCTCTTTACTGGATTAGCCAATCAGGTGAAGTCATGTAGGCAGTTTGGGAGGGCTCTTAGTTACTAATGGGAACACACAGCTCTCTTAAAGGGAAAGCAGAGAATGAAATCAGAAAGGTGCCATCATCTCTAATATTTATACATGTGTTTGTTACTTTCTCTCTGTTCCGCTCTCCGTCATCAGGCCCAAACACTGCAGAAGTTGTCCGTTTGAGTTGAGAGAAGTGTCATTTGTCTCGTCACTTACATCTTCTACTTCTTCTTCCACTCTGCAGGAAGTCCACCAGAAGCTGGCCGACAAGAAGAAGCTCCATGTCGTTGAGTTTCAGTCGCAGCAAGGCCCGCTGCCCATCGTGGTGGCGAGTCCCAAAGACGGGGCACAACCGGACCCGGAGCCTGAAGATGAGATCCCCAACACCCGTCTGCACTGGGACGACGTTCAGGCCGCACAGGGAACCAGACGCTCAATCTGGGCGGATGTCAAACGCACCATCTGGTAGTGTGGGACTGGGCCGATGATTCAGTCTGACCACAAGACAGATGATGTGACTGATGGAGGCCGCGATTGTCAGATGGGGGGTCTGATTTTTGGCTCTGCCAAGAAGAGCTGAAAATATGTGAAGAATAGGATCATTTGTTCTCAAGCAGAGTGTCAGCTTTGGTCAGTAAATCTAAATATAGTGGAGTGTGATCGTTTTGTCAACAGAGGACTGAAGTTACAGTTTGTCAAACTGAAGACATCCCATTTGAAAACATATTACTCCAGATACACCCAGTTACAGCCAACAGTGTCACTAAACTGTTAATGTCTTTGATATCGATGTTTCCTTTGTAACTGTAAAAGAAAATCTATCATCCACTTGGAATTCTTGAAAAATATATTATGTACTAATGCAATAAAATATGCATCTGCATAAACATGTGTAGGCTAATACTCACCTCTGTGTCTCTGAAGCATGTTGTATCTATAAAGTAATGAACTCTGACAGGAGGTCTACACATTAGATCATGAAAATAATGCAGCTTTATTTAGCAAATGTGACCTTTCCCTGACCAGCAACAACAACACTGTATGGACGCAGATCTTTGCACATAAAGTAGGTGATGGACTGTGTTAGATCTCAGAGTTTTATGGGAGTTTTGTCGAGCTAAATGTGTCCAGTGTTAGTTGATTATTTGACATAGTGGGTTAAACGTTAGCCTGGCCGTCAGCGGCTAACACTATCTCTGGACGGTGGGGTGAGGTGAGCCCTCATGTTCGTAGTATTTCCAGAGTATTTTATTCTCAAATGACACTGCTTGCAAATTGTTTGTGTCATATCCGAGTCCTCCTTTCCTTCTGTGTTAAAAAATGTCTTGTGACGACGCGTTTCCAATCTCTTTCTCTTCCTGCCAAATGCCGCTGACTGAGACCTCTGCTGACCTCACCTGGAAAGACACATCAGCACCATCTAGTGGACCGAGAAAGCAATTGATTTTTAGTATTCTAGTATCAAAAGTTGTATCAAAATGTGTATTTGCAAAAATGAATGATGATTAAAAGTAGATACTTGCTGTACATGTATCAGTCTTTTATTATTATTATTATATATCTGAATAGTTTTTCCACTAATGACAAAATTGTGTGCCAATCCAGTTCATGCTGAGATATTTTACTGGGTGAATGAAAACTTTAACCTCACAGTGGTGCTTCAGAAAGAGTCAGTGGATTACTAGAGTCAGGAGGATTCATCTTCTGAAAACCCTATGTTTGCATCAAATTGAATCGCAATCACCAAATATAGATATTAAAGTCATGACCAAAGATGTGGACCAACATACTGCTATAGCATGGCTACAAGTTGTTTTGAAAATGGTTGCTGTATTTGTTTTTGAGAAGCAACTGCAATCAATGAATGTTTCCTTTTTCACAAAATAAGCCTCAAAAATGTTTCTGTCCATTGCTATTCTTCCTTCACCAACATGTCGCTCTGTTTCTGAACGTCCTGTAGCTGTTACAATCATCTAAATTCAGGACTCTTATCCTCTTTTTACATGTGTGACTGGACTTCCACACTGGTTATTAAAAAATAAAAACAATTCATACAAATAACAGCAAATAAAATAAGGACACAATCATGTTTTTAGCTATATATTTTTTTTAATTTCAAGAATACAAAAAATGGCAAACTATACAAATTTCTGCCGTCAAGCTAAAAAATACACTTCACCATCCTTTAAGTACTGACGATTGGTTGGCATTAAATCTATATGACAAAGAAAAATAATTGGCAGTTGATAAAAAAGAAAATCTGAAAATCAAAGACGTATTTTTCAAGTTACTCTTTAGTTCTGTAACTGAAACAAACGTCTGTCAGTCTGATCACAGATGACAAAGGGAAGAGAGTCGGCTCCGATTGCAGCAAGAGACAACTGTGTCAATATACCGTGTAATAAAGGTAACAGAAAGGTTTTAAACTTCATTTATGTAAGATTGGAAATGGGAGAAACAGCTAGTCAGTTCTGCCCACAGACCAGTACCTCTATGGAAACTCAGCCTGCAGTAATAACATTCAACCATATCCCATGGTTTTATAAAAAGTCTAATAAATACGACTTAGGTGATAAATGATGAGTGGCTCAAATTGATATGTGGTTAAAAACATTTCTTACACTGAACAAAACAAAATAACTGTAGTTTTACCTACTTTATAATTTTGCCTCACTTAAAACTCAATTTGCTTCATTATGCACTTTTTTCTGCATGTTTCAATGTTTTATAGTGCTTCACTAAACATTATTTAATGTCCCAAAATGGGGCCTAAAACCTTCATTATGAATCTGACCACTTTCACGCACACATGCACATACACACACGATGCACAGGACTTCTTGGACACACGAGTCTGCGATTCAGCATCGCTCTTCAGAAGTTCTTCCATCGGATGGAGGAGAGGATGGCGTGGATGAAGTAGAGGAGCGTGGCCACGAAGGCAAACACCTGAGACACACAAGTGAACACAGAACAAAGAATTAAATCTACTTTATTTCTGGATCACTGTGTGATGTGAGGAAGATGAGGTTTTGTATTTTGCTGTTTTGCTTTGCACACTTTTGGACAGATACACTTTGTCGCAGTGTTCCTGGGAGTGAAATGAGAAGATCGATGCCACGCTCATAACTGTACCATGAATTTAAAGAAGTTGAAGTTAGCTTAGCACAAACACTGGAAATAGGGAAACAGCTCTCCTGGATCTGTTCACGGTTACAAAATCTGCTTCACAGCATCTCCAAAGCTCAGAGTCATGAGCTTTGTTTTTTTATGGGGATTAAACATGTAAGATATAATGTGTTAGTGGGCTTTAGAGATGCTGATGGGAGGCTGACTGTTTCCCCTGTTTCCAGTCTTTGCCCTAAGCTAAGCTAAGTGGCTGCTAGCTGCAGCTTCATATCAAGAAAGAATAAATCAAACAGTTAATTAGCTCCAGTGATGTAAAGATACTAGTGTTTATCAGTAAATAATGTGCAAATTGTTGATACTCTGTCATGAAATCAGTTCTCACCACGGCAGCAATGTCAATCTGGTAGATTTTTAATGTGCCTCCTTTCTTCGTCATGGTGATGAAAGCCAAATCCACCCCTGCACTGAGGTAGAAGAACGCTGCCAGGCCGTGGTAAGCAAAGTCCTGGACACAGACAGATTAAATAATAGTACACCATGGCCATAGCTCGTCAATCTTTCTTTTTATTTTAAACCCTGTGTCATTCTTTCTTTCTCTCAGGTCTTACAGCAGCGGCCCAGCCAGAACTGTTCTTATGACCTCCAGCAGCGAAGATGATCATCCAGAGGAAAGTCAAGACGAAGCAGAACACAGAGACAAACATCACCCAGCCCAGAGGGTTCGGCGGGTCCACGTGGGTCGACGCCACCAGGATCCACACCAGACCACCAAACACCTGCAAAGATGGAGGGAATGGGTGGACAGATGGTATTGTGATTTTTGTAATGTTTGTGCTATAGTGACCTTAAACTAGGATTATTGGGCTGTACTTGAGCGTCTGTACCAAATTTCAGGGCAATACATCTAATATGGGTCGAGGCATTTCACTCAATGTCAAAAATGTCAAACCGTATGGTGGCACTAGGATTCATCCTCTGGGCACCATGAATGCCATGCTGCTAGTATGATTAGAAGTTAAGATACGTTATTTCAGATTATCTGTTAAGATAAAAGAACATGTGTGTGCAGTGAGTGCCACCAAAGTTGTAAATCTACTGTGGCTACTGTCGCCCCAACAAAAAACATTTACAAACTCTCAAAACTTGTGCAATAAGTCTAATTTTTCCAGTCCTACGCTCAGCACTTCCCAAACACATGCAAATTGCTAAAACTTTAGTATTTAATCACTTCTGCATGAAGAGTTTTAGGCACTGATGAGTAGTAGCGCACCAGGGCGTCTCAACTCAGCGAGGTCAGAGATTTGCCGTGGAGTTTTCGCCACAAACTCAGCTTTACACGAAGTGAGCACCTGACCCTTCGCTAAGTCCCGCATGTCGTGTATTGATGATACTCGTTACCTGGAGAGGTTGGAAAAAGATATACGTTTCTTCCCTGTTCTGAAACCAAAATCAAACCCTGAAAAGCTTAGGGTTAGCTAGCTAGCTACTGAAACACGGTTCATCTGCACACACTGCGATGCCACACAGCTGGTTCAGTATCAGCAAAGTTTCCCTTTATATTCATTGTCTTGTGTGGTGATCAGCAGTGATGTGGTGGTTCACTTTTACACTGTGATCTGTAGCCTATAGTTCGGCTTTAGCTTCTAACTATCTTTGTCTTTTTAACCTGTTGTTGCTACTGAGTCAGTTTGACATCCTGGATATATCCTTCAAACACAGACTTTTTGCAGTGGTGTAATTCCCTGAAGACGTGAAATCCACCTACCACCAGCAGCAATATGTTTTGATACTCTTAGTTTCTGCTCCTTGGGTGGGCTTTTTTAACCAAAATGACCTGTGACCTACTGTATCTTCTTTTTTAGTTTCATTGGCTCTCGGTCTAAGATATGACCCCTTTTAGTTTCTCTATTAAAACCACCCTTGGAAATAACAGTGTAGAAGTAGCTTTAGGTACCGACACAGCATAAGGAAGCCTGTGAGGTTGTAAATCGATGAAGTGTGACATGAGACTGTTCCTGAGTGAGGATCAGATTCTGTTAAAAACCTGTTTTTCTGTCATGATAACTGATCCGAGTGTTGGCTCCTCTTGCTGTTAAGCCATCCTTCACTGCCATTATTTTGACCTGGACGGTGCTTGATAGGCCATTTGTGTTATTGATTAAACATTACACAGCTGCTGGGAGATTTACACAGCTACACATGGATCAAATAATAATAGCAAAAAACAAAACTGTAGTGTCATTAAAGGCAAGAGCTCGAGCTACAGTATGAGCTGGGAAACTAAACTGACAAACAGCAGGCAAAAGTGTACAATAGCTCAAATCTGAAGTGGATCAAACCCATAAATAAATGAAAGGTCAAGAATTTGCATGAAAAACAGTCTGCACATAACAAATCAGCAGGATCACAGCCACATCTGTCTCAATGTTGACTGAACAAACACTTCTCTTTACTTTCTATATGTCTCTGAATACAGGATGGGCGGTGTTTAGTTTGCCGGGTTATTTTTGATAGCGCGTTAACCACATCCGTGTAGTCAAAACTCTCTGGAATTCATAGTGTTGCATTGTGTCACACAACCTGGCTGATGCTGTGGGCGTCTTAAAGTGAACGCACATCTTAATCTGAACGCAGCTTCATCTTTGAGAAGGCTTTGTGTCATTGTAACGACAAGTCATGTCTGATTTAATCACTGTTGACCCAGCCTCGGTACAGAATCAACCGCTGCAAACATAACAGTATGTCCAGATGACGTCGTCGTTGCCTTGAGCTGCACGGTGACAGGATTTCGTCAACACTCCTCTGTCAGACTCGTTTTAAAGGTGTCAGAACAGAAGTTTTACCGCCGCACACCAAAAAATAACCACAATATAATAAATATAATAAACCAAGCTACTTTAAAACTTTTCTTTTTAATTCTCAGTTTTGAACTAAAGCAAAGTCAAGACACTGACCTCTTGCTACGTGCAGTTCTGTTTGTTGTGACAGAACTTCATGAAATGTTAAATCTATAGGTTGATATGATGAAATAAAAGGTGTGCACCTCTCTTGAGGCCTAAACAAATATTTATTCAAAATAAAAAGGTCATGGCATTTTACTCTCACCAAATGTATCACAGATAGTTTACGGTACACTTGCATTCTAATGAGCATTCAAATAGTGATATGTAAAACAAAATACATCTGGCCTTTAGATATAACTGCATTTCAGTGACTTTATTTCAATGTGCTGTGACAGGCTGGGCTGTGCTCCCAGAGGAAAGGAAAATCCAAATGAGTTCTCTTCTTTGTGGAGCCTATTTCTCCGAGACGTGACTGAGCTCAGTATAACATCAATGTGAGATTTTAAACATTCTCTTATACTTCCTAATTTCAGCTCCTGAGAAATCTCCTTCCTC